TATACATAAGACCCTCCTCCAAGTCTGTGTGTGTCTGGTTTCCAATTAACATAATTTGGCTATTTCATTCCTAATATAGTGTAAAACTAAAATTTCATATTGTCAATAGCTATATAATAACTAAAATTTATGGAAAGTTAACATTTATATAAAGTTACTATTTATATAATATTTATATCTATTTTTTTGTGCACTCAGTCATTCTTTAATTAACACTATTTATACTGTACCTTAACTTGTCTTAACAATTCTTTCTGATTGTAAGTCGTTAACAAGTTCCATCAAAGTGTCGACATTATGATCAGCATTTTCTTTGAATTTTGTGTTGGCTGGGTTGTTTAGAAGAACTGTCACTGTTTTGAAATAAAAATATAATAGTTTGAAATTTCATATATATTGGTTTTGCAGGCCAGCAGATGGTGTTCAACTTTAGAAGTTTTAAAATTAGTCTAGTTTTAAAATTAGTCAAAAATGGTATAGACTAATTTTAAAACTAGGCAAGGAGATGCAAATAAATCACCACAGCTCGAGGTTGCAAAATGTTGTAAAATGCAGAAAAGATAGCCTTGCAAATTTTGCATACTTTTGTATTGCATGTGAAAATTGCTACCACATTTGGGTCAAACATGGTAGCAATTTCTGCACGCAATACAAAAGTATACAAAACTTGCAAGGCTAGATTTTCCGCATTTTACAACATTTCGCAACCAAACTTTGCAATGTTACTCATTTTAGTATGCTCTTTCTAGCTGTGGTGATTTATTTGCATCTTGTTGCCTAGTTTTAAAATTAGTCTATAATGGGAATTATCATTTTCTTATTCCTACAATAGACATTTTTCTCATTTTGATCACTGTAGGTTCACCACACTCTCAATGAAAATGCATGTCTAGAACAGAATTTGTTAAAATCTTAACAAATCTTAATCTGTTTCAATACCTGTACCAGCTGCCTTGCCGCACTCCATGTCTTGTCTGTGGTCACCAACGACAACGGTATTGCAACATTCTATCTTCCATTGGTTACAAATATGCAACACTGGAGCAGGGTCTGGCTTTATTGGCTTGAAATCCCTCGTCAAGATCTAAACAATATTGTTTGTTTTAATTATAAGAAAATTGTTTTTATTTAATTATGGTTAACTACAATTGTCATTATTAATAGGCTGCATAATCGGCCAACATGTTTACATCCATTACCACCCAATTCGCTCAAAACATCGAGTTTCTGCTTGTTTTTTAAGGTAGTAATATATATAACCATTCAGCACAGCATTTTCACATTGGTACTACCTACACTGGACCACTGGTACAGAGAGTTTTAGTATATACTTTAATCAATATATAGGAAAAACCCTCTAAAAGAACAATACTCACATGAGAAAAGATCTTGCCATCCTGAAAACGAGGTTTTAAGTGTTTTAAAAACAGCTCGACGGCTTTGTGGTCGTTCCTGGTTACAATGGCCAACTTTATTCGATTTTCATGAAATATCTCCAACATCTCATCAACTCCTGGTTGCAATGCAAACTTTTCTCGTCCTTCAGCTTCAAATTCCTCTAAAATACGTAACATTTCTTGCTTTTCTGCTGCACTTTCTCGCTTCTCTACGCTAGCTAGTATATCGTCTGTGTGCGAAACATTGAAACGTTTCAGCCTTTCTCTCAGTACAGCAAAGTTTAAAACTGGAACGGTCAGGGTGCCATCCAAGTCGAAAATTACTCCAAATATTGGCACCATTTTTCGTAACGAACCGTTCAGGACGTAAGCAAACCGGTTACATGCCATTTTAGCGGAAAAAAGTGAGAGAAAAGGTGATTTTTTGAAGTTTTTAATCCTTTTATATAAACTTTCTGTAAAATTTGTGACTTTTCACGTTGTTTTATTTTGGTGCCAGCGATATTTGGGCCAGCTACAGTATATATGAAATACTTTATGTTGCATTCTTCGTACTATCACCGCCAACTTTTTTATAAAAACTCGCTCTTAGCCAATGAAAAGCTTTAATTTTTTAACAAAACGGCCAATAAGACGAGATCACCTGAATAGTTTTAGTGACCACAGGCCTATAGATGCATGGAATTGAATGGTAGTTTTTGTCTCGAGGCCAAAAGATCATTTGCTGGTTTTGGGTAATAGGCCAATAGGCTGTCCAGGGTCAAGGGCATGGGTTTTTCCGGAAAACTTTAAATTTGGGAAATCGAGATGGCTATTTCCTGCGTTCTCAGCGTGAAATTATGTTTTCGTTTTGTTTTAAATCCTAGCAGAAATATTCCTATACTTAGAGAACATTGCAATATAACTACACATTTGGGGTTTGCCAATTAATCGACATGTCATTTTCCCTAAAAACTCGAAAGCTATAAATTGTAGAATTCGTTGAATATTATTAAAATATTAAAGAGGCCATTGGATGACCCCTGCAACGCCCTGGCTTACGTATAAACATCATTCATCGCTTTAATGACATATTGTAAAGATAAATACCACTCTACTGCCCGTGGTCAGATCACGCACAATTGAATAGTGTATTGTTGTCAGTCAAGACTTAAAAGTACTGGTCGCTTCACAATGGCTAGATACACACTCTACATATACGTCGCTATATGGCTGTCTTCGCTCGTTTATGTGATACAGGGAGATATAAATGCCGGAAATATATCTCAATTCCATTTTAGCTCAGAGAGACTTGGTTGTGAGAGTGTTTCCAGCCAATATGTTTGCCCAGCTACTGCACTCAGCCCCGACCTTGCGCTTGACTACGAAACGGACGCAGATTTGTTGAATCTTACACTAGAGGATATTAAAGCGAACAACGCCAGTCAAGAATGTATTTCAGCGATAACCACGACGCACTGTTCAGGTTTTACACCTCGTTGTTTTGTGAACGGGAGCAGAGATTATGGTGACGCACGAAACGCGTGCTGGAAAGCGAATAGAACATGTCCGGTGGACAGCATTGAAGAAGGGTTGTGCGAGTCCCTTAAAGTAGGCCTACAGCCACTCAGCGCTTGTGTGAAACCTTCCAAACCGATCAATGGAAGTTGTCCGCAACCGAAATTCAAGGTAGGGGGCGATTAAAATGACATAACTGCGCTCAGTATGATAGGCTATAACTATTTTAATTTAATATACATTAAACGCGCTGTTGCGCCATGTTTTTTACACACAGCACATAACACGAGCGGTCGTGTTGAAAACACGAGCAGGCGGATCTCGTTATATATCTTATACAACACGATTTACACGAACATAATTGCTGTAAAGTGTGTTGAAAACATGCCTATTCTTCAATTATCATTAAGAGCGCGGAGATTAGAACGCAACCAAATTTGGTATGATTGTTTCCTTAAAAATTTTCAACGAAAGGTTTTTCATCGCGTTTTTTTCTCGACTTGTGCATATTTATGATAGCAAGAATCTATCAGAACTCCTGCATTTTTCAGCCTACTGCTTACAAAGAAAAATCAGATCACTGAATGGGCTTTCCATGAACTTTCCTACATACTGAACGTAATTGCTTATATATTTCTGAAGCATGACATGGAAAGATAATTTTATCTCAAACACTATTAACCGTGAATATGGAGGCACAAATATATTGACTATTGTTATTAGTTATTTTGTATAAGATAATATTTGTTTTGATGATATTTGAATACCGCCATATTTCTAAATCTACAAACATGATATTTTTGTACTTTGTTTATGTTATCCTTAATCGTATTTCAAAATGAAAATAACACGTCAATAATCAGTAACCACAAGCGCAAGGCGAAGAAAACTACTTGACAACAAAAGTGAATTAAAACCATCTATTTATATCATCTGTAAAGGCCGAAATTGCCTAAGCATATTTCCGCACAATCTATCGTCGACACAGTAGCGTTCCAATTTTATCGATGGTAAACTGGTAAAGGTCAATTTAGCAAAGGCAACTACTTCACTACAAAATGGGATTAATGTCGTTTCATGACGAAAAACCTTTATAAAGACTTAACCACATTTCAACGACATCTTTTGTCGATAGAGTGTTTTTGGTTTTGCAAGCATTCCAGTTGTGTGTGAAGATCAATTACACAAGCTGACCTGATGAGATTAGATAAAGTATACAACCAAGTAAAACTCATATATATTTTATTTTTAATGTGGTCACGTATAGTTTCGCCCTTCCTGACGCGCATCCTTCATTTCCTATTTCTCTGTTCCTCCTACGTTTGTCGGTGTTCTATAGTTTAACCTTGAGAAACGTTTTGTATCAGAGATACTGATGACAAATTTGGAATTTAAAGCATTTGGTTATTAATTGTTGTTTGTCAACATAAAAATCCCAGCAATATACCAAGCTTGGTTTCCATATGGTCGTAACGGTCGTAAAGATTGAGTCACGATCTTTCTCATCAGCCGAAATACAACATTTGAGAACTGAAAATACGCGGAGTGATTATAACTAGAGAATACTTATGATTTATATGTGGTTTACAGGTAAAAACTATCAGAAACTGGCCGTTGAGAAAGATCATGACTCTATTTTTACGACGATATGGAAATCAGACATCAACAACCTTGAAATGCTCATTGATAGTCCATGAAGAAAACACAAAAGAAATCATGACGTTTGGAGATTGTAATTAATACAAAATCATTCTGATTTACATAAATAGCATATGTATATACCAAAAAACATTCCCGTAACATAATAAAAAATTCCAAGAAATAATTATACCAGCGTAATAGTCATAGGAATCAAGATGTAGATCAAGTATTTATTCTATAGAGCACCGTTTCTCAGATTTTCGTACTTAAAATTTCAAGGACAAGGGTACAATATAATCGCAAAGCTATAATATATATAAGACAACTTTATCTCAATATTTTAGATGCCTGAAGACAAACTGGACTTATACATCACGTCATCAAAAGGATACGAAGATAGTGGCTATTTTGAAAACCTCACGACAGCGCGCTTTCCTAACGGTAGCCGGATGTTTTCCAACGAATGCGTCTCAAAAATCAAAGAACTGTATTGCCTGCCGTTTTACTGCTCAACGAATGAACAACAGATTGTAGTCGAATATACGTATGAAGACTGTGACGATATTTTTTATAAATGGTAAGAGGCTGGTTACTAATGGGAGGAATGTTTATATGAACGTCAATACTCAATAGGCGAGTTTCACCACATTTTTGTCACAGAATAACATATATCATATACAGTTATCAGAATTAGTAATGTTAATTCTGTTAAGTCATATCAATGCATGCGCAGCCCATTTTATCTCATTCAGAAGGCGAGTCCTGGTATTGGATAAACATCGGAGGGAAATGCTTTAAATAACTTCAAATACAAATACACACTGTAATGTCACTTTGTAGGCAGAAATTCTACAAATTCTACAGCTCTTCAACTTCAAGTGTAAATTTTAGTTGCCGATATGGTTCGTTTTAGTTCAGAAATTCGAAGCTAAACGTCAGTTCCAGTCTCTTTTTATTGTTATCTGCGCGGTTAACACGAAGCTCACTTTCGGATTCGAGTTCTCGCTTTTCCGACCTTTTCACTTTTCGGATTCGAGTTCTCCCTTCAGATATTTATTTATTTATTTATTTATTAAACAGGAAGACGGTTCAGGAACACTAACACAGCGTGAGCCAATTACGTTAGTGACCTGTTACAAAACAAATGTATACAAAACTTCGCAACTTATAATTGAAATATCAAACAAGAATATAGTATAATCCTTTTTATCCGAAGTAGAGAGAGAGCATAAAAATTTCAATATATATATATAAAGATATGGAGGTCACTGGGACAACCACATCTCTTAGCTTTTTGTGTTTTTGTTTTTCAGTTTTGGTACAGCGCTTGCCGAGCTATACGAAGGACCATTAAAAGAAGCTATTTATGATCTTCAAGATAGATATGACAACTGTGGATTCTATCCTTATGCCATTGACTCATCCGGTACGGGCTCTGGAACCCCACCTGTAGATATACCTACATCCCAAAGCATGTCAACTGCACCCCCTGGAAACAATGTGTCCAAAACCACCCAGAAAGAAATACCATCCACAACCCCTCTCATGGAGAATACAACATCTACCACCCTTGATCAAAATATTTCCACCACCCCCGGACAAAATATATCCACCACCCCCCGGGAGAATAGATCTACTACACTCCCGGAAATGACGACATCACAGCCTGAAGATACTAAAACATTTACCACTCCGAAAAATGTGGAGTTTTTTAGGACTCCTTCCCCAACAGGTGGTAATGAACGCCGCCAAAATGTCCCAACTTTGCTGTTGTTTTTCTTGCTCGTTTTAGTTCATATAAATATGTAGTTTCATAAGTGGCTTTCATCAAGCACTATCGTGTAACAGATGATGGTCGAGAAAATATTGTTAATTCTTATAATAAATATGTACCAGCCATGCATGTATTTGAAGGCAAATAAATGAGAGTGATTTAGTTTCATTTTCTTGCCTATACAAGTTGACTGCTGTCCCGCGCAGTTCTCACTGAAATCCACCAACACGTGAATTTTCCACAAGACATTGCAATGTAAAATAATGTATTTTAAAAACATCACAGTAGCTGTGAAGAAGTATAAAGTAGATACGACCGTGGCTTATTCTTCTCAAATGTTTTGTAGTCATAGACTTTTACTGCATGTGCAAATGTAATCACGTGTAACTTTGTACGTTGATTTGTAAGTTGTATGATAGTAAGGCCTGTTTCGAACGTCGCGCTTCTCATGAGCCGAATGCTTTAGAAATAATAGATAATGAGGCACACTTCAGTTGATTATTTAATAAACGAGCAGGAGTGTTTTATTAGGTTTAAAGCCACGAGCGCGCAGCGCGAGTGGCTTTAGACCTAATAAAACACGACCTGCGAGTTTATTAAACGGCTTCAAACACGACTACAAATTCAATAGATATACTGCCTCATTAGTATTCTTTATATAAAGAACACTAATGAGGACACGACTACAATAGATACTGCCTTATTAGTATTCTTTATATAAAGAATACTGATTAGGAGTGTTTTATCAGGTTTAAAGCCACTGCACGTGACATATTATGGTTGACATGGTTTGCCAATAAGCTTATGAATTATTAATGAGTGTTTGAACTATTGTTTTTAATGCGTTCGGCACACGTTTGAAACAGGCCTAATAGTGTATTTATGTAGCGTAGAGCTTAACTTAGAACTCCGCTTGTCCTGTTGTATACGCAATCAATCATGCAGTTCTTACTGTAATTGGAAAATTATTAAAATAAATATTAAAATGTTTGTTTCAAAAGTTGTGTTTACATCCTGTGTGTCATTAACGAGATGAGATGAAATACAAAGACCATATATTTAAATTATCTCACTAAACAACATCCACGTACTTTATGACTTTTAAAGCCAAAAAATAAACATTTTAATTTTACAGTTTTTGTGAAAACAAAATAGGAAGCCTTTATACAGATTTCTGAGACGTCACATAATTTACCTACCGGAGTCATTGAATGAAATTCAGCGAAGTAATATGAGCAATGTGAAAATATGTTTCAGGATTTTCGTTTCACGAAAAGTACAGACATTTATGTCGATGGAAGTGATTGTTCTGTGTTGTTGTTCACTTCAATGGGCGTTTGCGCGATTCACGGACCATCATACATATTGTACACCTTTACATAACGTCACAAATGAGTCAGAACAATGACACAGAATACTGGCTTTTCCTATGATTTTGGCGTAACCGTAATTCGTCATCAAAATGCTGACGCCATATAGTCCCAGGCAGTGCGCTTACGAGAAGCTTCCCCCCTGATAATATTCAAAATGCGGACGTCCAGGGGGGTGAATACCTCTGATAAGCGCACTGGCAATCCACCAGCCTTTTAAGCATGTTAAACTGTTTCAGGAATGGTTTCTTAGAAGTAAACCTTTAGACAGTGAATTAATGCTGTAAAATAAACGACCCACTCTTTAGTTTGTAACGGGAATTTTTGGCGACGCAACGTTATAAAATGTCACACAACGCGTACTCACGGTTCGACGAACTTTCATTCTTTCCAACATGAAGTACACAAGACGCCTCGAACGTGATCAATTCTTGCTTACATGAAGTATTCAGGATGTTCCAAAATGCGCTTGGTCGTACTGTATGACAAGTTTTTTAATGTGGTTTAACTTTGGGTATAAATAATTCAGTCTTTGACGATCTTTTGTCCATCGCTCCTGAAATATGACAAAAAAAATGAAATAAGAACGACTCCCATTTTTACCAAAGAAAAGGGCGTTACACCACTTATCCCCTCCCTTCGAGGCGAAAAATTTCAATATCCTTCAACAGGTACAATTTTCGGGTTTCATATGACGTCTCGTGGTCAAGGGTCTGCGCCAAGGGTAAAGGAGGGTTTTATATTGTTGACATTATTTGCCTTTTATAATAGTCAAAGAACTTATTGACGTAAGAGTGTTGACAGCCATGTTGTTTCTTTGTTATTGCAGTTGACCTCCAAATTATGCTAAACTATCACGTGAATGATTGAAATGTAAGAATATGATTCAATTTGATTAAAATTCTATATTGTAAAGTACTATTTGAAAAACGAACTGAAACAGCAGCATAAATCGCTACATAAAAAAATCATCAACGACCTCTCCCTTATTTTACCGATCAGCGTTCCATTTTCTGAATTTCCCGACAATCTCAGCGAAAAGTGGGTGGGTGTGGGGCGGCGGTTGCGCAAACCCAACCCAACCCCCACCGGATACGCCCCTGGTGCTAACCAGACATGCTATCCGTGTTTCCACATTGAAGAATCTTCTCACCTTTTTTTCTTCGTAAACTTTAAATATTTCTTCCTGAAGTTCCTGCAAGAAAATGAATTAACTGTAATCGTCGCGACTGTTTCATTAGTCGATAATTTTTGAAGAAAAGTTTTCACAAAATATTTACCTTAGCTGCATGGCTGTCTGCAGGATAGTTTTTTAATTTTTCTTTGAGGTCATTGAATTGTTTTGTAACTAAATCTAAACGTTCTTTTGTCGCGGTGAATTCTGTGTATTCCTTTGCAAAGTCTTCTTTATATGAGCATCTTTGTTCGTATGTCTTGATTTCGGGATATTTTCTGCAAAAACACCAAGAAACATAAACTAACTTTGCTTCTCCTGGATAGCTTTGTCTGTTCTAAACTGTTCTTCCTAGCGGTCGAGTAAGGATCATCTCTTATTGATCCAGTGTTACTATAGGAGGAAACCTAAACTAAACTAACTTTATTTATACTGGATAGCTCTATCGGTTCGAAACTGTTCTTCCTATAGAGGTCCAGTAAGGATCATCTCTTATTGATCCAGTGTTACTACAGGAGGAAACCTAAACTAAACTAACTTTATTTATACTGGATAGCTCTATCAGTTCTAAACTGTTCTCCCTAGAGGTCCAGTAAGGATCATCTCTTATTGATCCAGTGTTACTACAGGAGGAAACCTAAACTAAATTTATTTATACTGAATAGCTCTATCGGTTCTAATCTGTTCTCTCTAGAAACTGTGGTGAGAATTTCAGAAAATTCTTTTATCGTATATATGAATGAAACTACGGTCACAGAGAGACGAAATACAGATGTACTAATTACAGTCTCATCAACACATTAAGACTGCTGTCCTTCATTACTTACAAAAGATAATCTTCGTTTAAGGGTGAATCTGTTTTTGAAAAGGAACAGTTGTTGTTGTTGCTATCGTTGCCATTGTTCTCTGAACCATTTGTTGCTTTTGTTGTTTTCGTCGAGTCTTTGTCTGAAAACGAGAGAGAACAATGCCATATTTCATCTCTATAAACGGACATTCTACCGAGAAATTCAAACAGTTTGTCGAAAATATTATGAATTTGTAGTTGTCATGTATAGTAGTATTATATTTGGAGCAGGCTTCGAATTTCCCTGAAATCAATCGACGGCAATGACGTTAAAAATTACCGTAGAGCATAACAGCTGTCTACGGCAATTTTGGCAAATTTCCACGGCATTTTTTCAAATTACTGTAATAAAAATCTAATTTTATTGTTATTTGGATTGCTGACAAGCTAGAAACATGTTTACGTATTTCTTTAGTGTTTTTTTTTCGAAGAAAACTCAGACTAAAATAGTAGTTAACGCATGATTTGATCAACATCTGAATTCAAGTATCAAAATAGTAATACACAGTGAATAGTATAAAAATTATAATATACGCCAAAAATTGCAGTCGTTGACGCAATGATCCACGGCATTTTGTTCTCCCTCTACGGCAATTGCCGCGATAAAATTCAAGCTCTGATTTGGAGGCAAACTTGGAGAATTATAGTTTAAATTTTTTGCTCTTATAAAAGTGTCAAAATGCTGCTGTGCTGTAACGCTTTTACTGTGTATTTATTCGATTGTTAAAACGACTCACTTGGCGTCTTTTTGTTCATTTCATGATTCGTTTTATGCTTCTCTCTACTCGCCCTCCTGGGAGGAACAATTCTTGGAGATTGCGAGGTAAGTTTAGGTGGAGACGTTTCTGCTCGTTTTCCCTCGTTCTTTGCGGGTGTGTTCAGGTTACTGTGTGCAATACGAGGTTTTTTACCAGCTGGGTTCTTGCCTGGCTTGTTTCCTCCGGAGAGAGGTCTTTTGGTCGAGTTCTAGGAAAGGAAAGGAATGGAAATGTTAAACAAAGAGTGTCATGGTGAACCAGCGGTGAAACTAGCCATGGCAACTGGTCATAATAATGCAAATCATTAAAAATTTGCATCGCATGTTGACCTGTTGCTATGACTAGCTTCACCACTGTACACACGCAAAAGTCTCGCATCTTGTAGCAAGTCTGCCAACAAGCCATCAACAAGTTGTGTTCGCACTGCTTGTCCCAAGTTGTCAACAAGTTTGGAACAAACTGTTAACAATTTGTAACAACCTTGTTGATATTATCAGACTTGTTGCAAGGTTGTTCCAACAAGTCTGATACAGTCATGATATAACACTATTGTTACAACCTTGTGTAGTCAACCTTGTAACATTCTTGTTGTATCATGACTGTATCAGACTCGTTAGAACAACCTCGTACCAAGTCTGATAATGCCATCAAGCTTGTTACAAGTTGTTAACAGCTTGGTCCAAACTTGTTACAAAAACTGGGAACAACCAATGCGAACACAACTTGTTGACAGCTTGTGAACAGATTTGTAACAACTTGTTTGCAGACTTGTAACAACTTGTGCGTTTTTACGTGCGTAGTTAACGATCACTCAAGAAGTCGATATGCACAATTGCAACTCACAATGCCCAACAAAGACGGAGCTATTAATGGTCCAGGTGAAAGTCTATCAACGCTTGAGCCCATCTCTGAGACGATTTTACTACGAAATAAAATATTAATTCATTATTCAGTGAATTACAGAAAATCCTAAACCACAGTTTCAAGCATCCACTAAATCTTTAGTTGTTCTTGCAAACTGTACTAAATATATTATACAAAACATTTATTACTTTTTGACCGTTTCTCGATCTTCATCCGTGTAGCCCGGCCAAGTGTCCACGTCCATCTTCAATACAAAATTAAAAGCAAAGTATAAGAAATACAAAGATCAATAAATCTGCCTTTAATCACAAATATTTCCTGTTACAGGAAACAGTATCATTTCCACAAGATTGCAAATCACAACCAACCTGAACTTCTGTATAAAAATGACGATTTAAAACATAAACATTGTCTTGCATCGCAGAAACCTTTGGGAAAAAATGACCTATTACTGTAAGCATGTTCTAAGCAAGAAAACTGATCTTCATGGAAAGTATAAATTAGTGTTCATACTGTTGTGTTTACCTGTTGAAGTACGTTTGTTAAAACAATAGCATCTTTTAATTTTACACCATCTACAAGGAATGTCATAAGGATGGACTGTTTAACCCATTAAGTGGCATTGTGCCTTACATTACTCTAATGCCAGATGGTTTTACTTGTCAAGGGGAGAGTGCTGGTGCGCAATGGGTAGTTTTAAAGCTTCAGTGACCGATTTCACCCGGGCTATCTGACTTCACCAACTAATCTGTCGAGTGATTCACCAACCCATCAACTTACTGACCAGCTGACAGACTGAATGATGGAAAGACCACACAATCAAGCATCCCACAGACCACCTTGACTGGCTGGTTCCCAGATTAACAGACCAACTAACCAGGCAAGTGACAGATGGACCAATTGACCAATACACTGACTGACTGGTCATTGAGTGGTCAACTGATTTATAGCCTGCAAACAGGCTCTCAAGGTGAATTAGAGCCTGCATCGATGACTAATGAATTTGAATATCTGCGTCTCAAATCGTAACACGAAATTCTCATTGGTCAGATGCTATAATTTATATATGTTTCCGCTGAGCTCTATATATGTCAACTGCTGAAGCACTGTGCATAAAAAACACATTAACTGATCAAATTGGTCTTGGCCATCTTATCTCAAAGCACGAAATCAGTTCTGTTTTGAGAAAACAGTATTTAAAACATTTGAACTTTTGCTTGAATATCTTATATTTCGAAAAACAGTATAAACTGTACGGTCTAAATTTAGTGTGCACGGTCTAAATTTAGTTTGCACGAAAGTTGTAAACAACACCATATAAGGATAGACATTCCATATTTGGAAAAACGAACGTTACGGGGCAGATATTTAAATTCATTAGTCATCGATGCAGGCTCTCAATTCAGCTTGAGAGCCTGTT